TGACTCGGGTGCGAGTCGGTCTTTTGTATCTTTGGCTTTTAGCCAGCACATCGGTATTGATCGGGAGGTGATGAGTCGACCCCTGCGGGTTTCTATAGCGGATGAGAAAGCGATATATGCCACTGACGTGATTCGAGGATGTGTGCTCGAGGTTTTTGGTGTCAAGTTCCCTATAGACTTGATTCCTATAGCGATGGGGGATGTCTGCGTCATCGTGGGCATGGACTGGTTGAGTAAGTTTGGGGCAGTCATTGACTGCGAGAGACAGCTGGTAAATATACGAGACCCTAGTGGGGGAGTGCTTACTGTGTATGGCGAGGGGACCCGGTGTGGGTTAGCGTTTTGTTCGGCTGCTAGGGCGAGACAGAGTTTGCAGCAGAGCTGCAGTGGATTCATAGCCTATGTGATGGACACTCGAGTGGCCGCGGGGAGGCTAATTTCGGTTGACGAGGTTCCAGTAGTATGCGAGTTTTTGGATGTGTTCCCCGAAGAATTACCAGGTGTGCCTCCAGAAAGGCAAGTGGAGTACCGTATTGATCTGGTTCCGGGGCGGCGCCCATCGCCAAGGCGCCTTATCGCCTCGCTCCACCAGAAATGCATGAGTTATCCTCGCAGCTTCAGGAGCTGTTAGGAAAGGGGTTTATTCGACTGAGTAGCTCACCTTGGGGAGCACCGATTCTATTTGTCAAGAAAAAGGATGGTTCACACTGGATGTGTATCGATTACCGGGAGTTGAACAAGTTGATGGTTAAGAACCGGTATCTGTTACCTAGGATCGATGATCTGTTCGATCAATTACAGGGGGCATCTTGGTTCTCTAAGATAGACTTGAGGTCGGGTTATCATCACATGAGGGTTCGGGATGAAGATGTTCAGAAGACTGCATTCAGAACTCGTTATGGAAATTACGACTTTGTGGTGATGCCTTTTGGGCTCACCAATGCCCCGACTGCGTTCATGGATCTTATGAACAGAGTGTGCAGGCCGATGCTGGATCGGTCGGTGATCGTATTCATTGATGATATTTTGGAATATTCGAGGTCTAGGAGCAGCATGAGGAGCATTTACGGGAAATTCTTGGAGTATTGAGATCGGAGAAGCTGCATGCCAAATTCTCCAAGTGTGATTTCTGGTTACGAGAGGTCCAGTTTCAAGGGCACCTTGTTAACCAAAAAGGGATATTGGTCGATCCGGCCAAGATTGAGGCGGTGATGAGATGGGAAGTGCCGATATCGCCCACTGAGATCAGGAGCTTTCTGGGATTGGCCAGCTATTATCGAAGGTTTATCAAGGATTTCTCCAAGATCGTCGTGCCGCTTACTAAGATGACCCAGAAGGGTGTTGCATTTTCATGGGGACCGAAGCAGTAGTCCTCATTCGAGACCCTTCATCAGAAATTGTGCGAGGCCCCGGTGCTTGCACTCCCGGAAGGGATGGAGGATTTTGTGGTATACTGTGATGCATCTATATCTAGATTAAGGGCGGTGCTTATGCAAAGGGGACACATTATAGCGTATGCTTCGAGGCAGCTGAAGCCTCATGAGTCGAGATATCCCACCCACGACCTGGAATTAGAGGCTGTGGTGTTTGCCCTCAAGATCTGGCGGTACTATCCTTATTGGGTTCGGTGTACCATATACACGGACCACAAGAGTCTGAAGTACTTGATGGATCAGCTAAATCTGAATATGCGACTGAGGAGATGGTTGGATGTGGTGAAGGATTATGATTGTGAGATCCTGTACCACCCGGGCAAGGCGAATGTAGTGGCCGATGCGTTGAGTCGTAGGGCGGAAAGCGCCCCGATCCGAGACATTTGTATGAGGTTGATGGTGATGACTCCGATTTTGGACACCATCCGAGGAGCTCAGGCTGAGGTTGCGAGACCAGAAAACCAGAAGAGGGAACGGGGTTGTCGGTCAGGTATCGGAATTCGTTACGGATGGACGGGGACTCATGACTTTTCAGGGTCGGATTTGGGTACCATTTGTGGGTGGTACGCGTACTATTTTGATGGAGGAGGCGCATCAATCAAAATTCTCGATTCATCCCGGGGATACTAAGATGTATTTGGACCTAAAGAAGGAGTATTGGTTGCCCTGTATGAAGATGGATGTTGCATAGTTTGTCGAGAAGTGTCTGACGTGTCGTCAGGTTAAGGCCGAGCACCAACGTCCGCACGGTAAATTGTAGCCGCTGGAGATTCCCGAATGGAAGTGGGAACAGATTACCATGGATTTTTTCACCAAATTGCCAAGGACTGCGAGGGGGGTTGATGCAATTTGGGTGATTGTGGAAAGATTGACGAAGAGCGCTCATTTTATAGCCATCAATGAGAGCGCTTCTGCGGAGAAGTTGGCAGAGTTATATGTCAGGAAGGTGGTATCGCGACATGGGGTTTTGATGTCGATCGTTTCAGATCGGGATGTACGATTTACTTCTAGGTTTTGGAAGAAGTTTCATGAGGAGTTGGGTACGAGGCTACATTTCAGTACCGCATACCACCCGCAGACAGACGGACAGAGCGAGCGGACGATTCAGACGCTTGAGGATATGCTCCGAGCATGTGTTTTGGATTTTGGAGGGAGTTGGGACACCTATTTACCCTTAGCAGAGTTTTCATACAACAACAACCATCATTCGAGCATTGGTATGCCACCTTTTGAGCTGTTGTATGGGAGGAGGTGTCGCACCCCCATCTGATGGGGAGAGGTGGGGCAGCGGGTGATGGGTGGCATGGAGATTGTACTTCAGACGACCAAGCAGATACAGCAGGTCAGGCAGAGATTGTTGACTGCGCAGAGTCTCCAGAAGAGTTATGTGGACAGGCTTCGGTCCGAGCTCGAGTTTCAGGTTGGTGACCTTGTGCTCCTAAAGGTCTCTCCTTGGAAAAGAGTGATACGATTCAGGAAGAGGGGCAAGTTAGGACCCCGATATAATGGACCTTTCAGGGTAATTGCTAGGGTAGGCAGGGTAACCAACCAGTTGGATCTACCTGCTGAGTTGGGACAGATCCACAACTCCTTTCATGTCTCACAGTTGAGGAAATGTATTGCCGACGAGTCGGCAGTGGTGCCATTAGATGATATTCAGGTGGATGCAGGCCTGAACTATGTGGAGAGACCAGTGGAGATCAGGGATCGAAAGGTTAAGGTTCTGAGGAACAAGGAAGTACCCTTGGTACAAGTGTAGTGGCAACATCGGAAGGGGTCCGAGCTGACATGGGAGTCCGAGACTGAGATGCGGGCTCAGTATCTTGAATTGTTTTCAGTATGAGACTTCGGGGACGAAGTCTGGTTCTAGTGGGGGAGAATGGTAACAGCCCGAAATCCAGGTACCCATCTATTTAGCCCTTCATCTTTGATTTGTTGCCATTTAGGGTTTGCATGTTAGGCGAGTACGTTGGGCGTACAAGGAGTACACTACGCGTACTCGCGCACTTCATTTGGACGCGTTCACCCTCGGGTACGCTGGGCGTAACCAGTCCAGCGTAACCAGTCCAGACCTAAAAACACTAATTATTTTAGATGGCTATAAAAGGGATGTGTGGCTCGACTCCTCAGCCACCATCCTTCAGAAAGAGACCCTAAAAGAGAGTGTGCATTCGTTCTTAGGCCATTTGTGACTATTCTAAGCTTGGTGGTGCCATTTCAAGGTAGCAAAGGAGAAGAAGAGCTCATTGGGAAGGCTAGAAGTGGTGTTCAAGTGTGGATCTGAGCTTTGCAAAGGTTGAAGCTTCATTATAGGGTAAAAAGTTCGGATCTTGACATATAGTTCATGTAATATGCTTCAAGTACCATTTTCTAGGATTTTAGTCCCAAAGGTGGAGACTTTTTGAGAAAATGGTCTCCATAAGCTTAGATCCATCATATTTCTGGCCTATTTGAGTTGTAGACTCATAAAAATGTAATCTTGGACTTGAATGTTGCACCATGCATGAGATCTAGGTCCTTGAGTTGGAATAGAATGATGTTAAGAAGTGTTGGAGCCTTTACAACCATGCCAAGGCTTAAAGGTCTCAACTTTATGGGTATAGATGCATAACTAAAGTCGGATCTAGAAGTTGGAGTAATGGCTTAACCGATTAAGACCAGAAATGATGTATGCTAAAGTTTGATGGTTACGCTGGGCATAACTCCCAGTACGCGCAGCGTACTGGTTGGAAACCCCGATCCATGGGTTGGCGATGTGCATCCCGCGTACAGCAAGCAGTACGCCCCGCGTACTCAAAAGGTTGACTTTTGTTGACTTTTAGGGTTTTGGTCAACATGAAGACTTTGAGTCAAGGAAGGGTAAAATGGTCTTTTACCCTCGGAGGAATGATGATGAGAGTTAAAGTCTAGTTGTGGAAGTCTTTAATAATGAAAATGATATTTATTATGTTTAGGCGACGTAGAGTCGTCGTTGGGATTTGGAGATAGCAAGTATACGAGATTCTAGACTTTCCACGAGGTGAGTTTTCTCACTATATTGTACCCAAAAGGATTTTTATTGTGTGACCAGAAGGTCGGATATGTTATGATTTATATGCATTGTATATGATAAGTTAATCGTTATATGTGCTATGTATGATATGCTTGATATGGGCCGGAAGGCATTATGTTATGGGTCGGAAGGCGTATATGTTATGGGCCAGAAGGCGCTGTGATGTGGACCGTAAGGTTGATGCAGGTAGGATCGGAAGGTTTACCGAGTCGGGACGGAAGTCCCCTGAGACACATGGACCAGAAGGTCAGGGCCTCGAAAGGCGTATGTGCGTAAGTAGTATTTTGGGGAACTCACTAAGCATTTATGCTTACAGTTGTTGTGTTATGTGTTTCAGGTACTAGCGAGGACCGTGGGAAGGCGTCGGCGTGATTGTACACACTGACGGAGGAACTGTTTTTATGATCATGGGATGTATTTTGTTATGATAACATTGTTCACGTTTGAATTTGGAATATTAAACGATGGTTTTTGACGTTTGCAAAAATGAAAAATTTATTTTAAAATTTACGTTGTTACATACTCAACTCTTTTAGCAATCTCTTCGTATCATCTTCATGAAATCCTGCAAATTGATAATCATCAGTGGCAATGACTTCCAACTCATCATCAACCATGTCAATCCCTTCATCTTTTGAATGATTGTTCAAGATTCCATGTTCATCTACATCAACAACATTATGGAATTCACTCATGTCTACATCTACATCAAATTGTATGTTAGACTCATCCACATTGTATTCACTATCGTCAGAATCATCTCCATTATTCTCAGAACCATGGCCACTCTCAGAGTAGAAAGCCTCTCCATTATCATCACTCACCATACCCTCTAGATAATCCACTTCTGGTTGTTTTTCAAATGAATTTTCAACATTAAACTCAGCATCATAATCAGCATAATGTGAGTAATCCTCTATAAATGGCTCATAATCATCAACTTTTGTAGTATTAGCTCCATCATCAGCTTGGCAGCTTGGTTCCTGTACATGGTAAGTTCCTAATGGTTCTTCAGTTTCAACTGCACTAGTGATCACTTCTTCTTGAGTTTCAATTTCATGATTCACCACTTCCTTTTGAATGACATGAATTTGTTTGCCTTGTGACCTTATAAATGGTAGAATACTCTTTGAGTAATCATGGCCTTTATCAACATCTAACACTTGTGACTGCTCATAATTAGGGTTCATAGACTTGTTTAGATCAATCTTTCTACTACATGATCCTGCTTCTCTCCTACAAGGTTTCTTTCTATTCATTTCAGGTGACACACTATCAGGCTCCAACTCTTCAATAACAACTTTAGAAGGAGACCTGTAATAACTAGCTACCCTTGTCTGACCAGTTTCAATATACACCCTAATAAGTCTGTGTTTAGGGACATATGATACCATTTTAAGTACATCTTGATCATTACCTAAAGGCATTAAGCCATAGTCCAAAGGGTATTCAGGTATACAGAAATGGTAGTAAAGGGTTTGCTTAGTTTTGTACTCTAGTTCTCGAACCATGTCATCAAGCTCATGAACTGAAAATAAATCAGTGTCAACATCATCTACATATGCTACAACACCATCAATGTATTTCCTTCTAGGTGCTTAGGTGAAGACACCACTTTAGTGTATCTTCAACGTGAAATAGTTATCATAACCTTCTGTAAACACAAAAAAACGAAAGAGTAAAATCAATGATTTCCTTACGTCAACACACTAGACCAAGAAAAAACAAGTTTTGTTGTAGTATTGTACCATATCTTTTTCCTAAGTCCTCCGCGGTTACAAATATTTCTTGAAAACACCATATTGATAGCACCATTGCAATTTCTGCAGCTTAAAACCCTAAATCCCAATTTCTGTTCTTGCTTCTACGATGGGAATGAACCCGATGACTAAACTTGTAACTGGTTATCTTCTTGGGAGAGGGACGGGTAGTGATGTGCAAGCAACAGGTAATCATTTCATATTAAAGAGAGAAGGTTACAACTGAAATGACGAAATTACCCTTGCAATATTTTATTAAAAAATGAGTTAGCGGTGAAATGCTAACTGAGTGAGCCGGAAGGACCATTTGTTAAAAGTTTTGAAACCACAGGGACCATCTGTGAGGTTTTTTGAACTTAGGGACTAAACTTGATATTTTTGGAAACCACAGGGACCATTTTTGAAGTTTTGTCTATTTTATATCTACAAATATGTTGGGTAGAACATGGGTAGATGAATTAGATGATGTGTGATGATAATTAGGTGATGAGAAATAGGTGATGATAATTAGGTGATGAGAAATAGGTGATGATAATTAGCTGAAGAGAGATATGTGATGATAGAAAGGTGATGATAATTAGGTGATGATAGATAGGTGATGATAAATAGGTGATGTGAGATGAGAGGAGATACCTTAACCTTGGCAATTTGGCGATGTAGTCATCTACCAGAGTATAGATGGTGACCACGGACTATTCTAGATGACCCCGTGGAAACACCAGCAGGCTCATAACCTGTAGGTGATGAATTACAAGTTCAGGCAATGTTGTAACTATGTATTCATGTGATTATACTCTAACCCTTACAATGAATTACGAGTCCAGGCGATGTTGTGACTACGTATTCATGCGATGATAGCCTAACCCTTACTATGAGTTACGAGTCCAGGCGATGTTGTGACTGGTATTCATGCATTAGGAACGAATATATATAAAGGAAATGCGATGTAAGAAGATGAGAGGTAAATATGATGTAGGAGATGACCCTTAGGATAATTCCTTGGGAAAGGTACTTAAGAATAAATGAAGATAATAGGGATGGGTAATTGGGTTGATTGTTTGATGATTGAATATTATAATTATATTATTATGGGTTGAAAACCCTATATGCTCACCAGGCTCCCAAGCATGACCCGCTCAGTTTTCTTTGCATTACAGGTAATGCACAAGGGTATAAATTGGTGGACTTGACGAGAGATTCTGGATTATAGATCAGTAGTTATAAATAATTGTTCTAAGGTCTATTTTATACTGTTTATGCTTTTGGTCTGTATCGGAACATGACGTCCAGAGATTTTGTTATTTAATGAAAATACGTTTCTTTAAGAAATGCTTTGATAAATTTTACTTTATCATATTTTATTTTGGGAACAAATTCCGCAAATGTTTTCCTTAAAAATGATTACTCTGATTTTAAAACAAATCATAAACAAATCGGTATTTTCTAGCCGTGAAATTGTGGATGTCACAATAGGTGGTTAGGATGATAATCTAATAGTACCATCTGAAGCATGTATGTGTTGAATCTCAGAATATTTGGGCTCTCTAAGGGTTTTGAGTCTATCGAAGCTAGAGACATATATAAAGCTTCAATCCTATAATTCAACACAACCAGTGAGGAGTTCTCCGACAACGAGTCCTGGGAGAACTCTCTGATGGTTAAATTAATTGATGGTCATAATTCGATTTTGATTTGCATAGAGAGGGGGGAGTTAACATAGCATGAGGTGTATATTTATGAGACATATATAGTTGGGAATATCATTACCTTAGGGAGGAAGGCATGACTCAAGGTTCTTCTTTTCTCATAATAGAGCATAAGTATGAGAATTGTTCATTGAGAAGGAGCATAAAGTTGTACCTCTTGTCTTGGAAAGCAGCAGTCTGACTGGCTGAGGGCGAACCTAATTGGTCGAGGCTGAACCTTGTTGGCCGAAGCCGAACCGCTCATGCTTAGGATGAACCTGATTAGCCGAAACCAATCCATTTGTGCTAAGGATGAACCTGGTTGGCCGAGGCCGAACCACTTGGTCGAGGCCAAACCTAAATGGCTGAAGCCGAACCACTTATGCAGAGGATGAACCTAGTTGGCCGAGGCCGAACCTGATTAGTTGAACCATGTTTGATGAACCATATTTGCAAGTATTTGAAAAAAGGTCCGACTAGGGATGTCAGAGCCGAAAAAACCCAGGTAAAAATTTCATTTTTATTATAATGAAAACATTATTGAAACTTTGTCCAACCATTGAAAAACATTTAAATAAAACTATTTTCAGAGTTCATTTCCAAAGATCATATATTGCGGAAAACAAGGGTGTATGCACTGTGATCGTCATGAGCCCTTTCATTTGAAAACTAGAGTACCTTAAACATAAACTGAAAAACGTAAGCACAAAGCATAGTGAGTTCCCCAAAAATACCACATACCAAACATTCAGTAAACATACAGTGGGCCCCGCCCGGTTATCGGACCCCGTCCGGTCATCGGGCCCCGCCCAATCATCGAGCTGAGCTTGGAAAGCATATAAACACATACACATGTAATATACACAATATATAGATAGTCATCAGGCTTCTCGCTGACATCCGACCTTAGTCCAGTAGTATATAAACGCAGGCAAATACAAGAGTCACAAAGACAGCTAGCATTCTATCAACATAACATGAACATGGAACGACATTGGTGCCTTCGACCCGCTAAACTCGATAAGGAAACTTACCTCGAATGTTGAAGCTCATTGCAAGAAATCCATAACCTCTACCCTAATAACTCCTCGAGCTAACAATACAAAAATATCACCCAATTAGAAATTAGGTTCCAAACCATGATCCGAAATCCAAACTTGGGGTAAAATGACCATTTTACCCCTGAACCAAAACGATTCATAACAAGGCCCAAGCCCTAAACCAACAAGATCCAAAACCACAAAATCCATGAAAGCCCACTAATGGCCCAATTTTCCAAATTAGGCCCAATCCCATATGAGCCTTGTCCTAAGCACACATGTCCAATTCAGATTGCTTCAAACACCTCGTAAGACAAACTTAATCAAATTCATAAGCCAAAAGTCAAAGTTAAAGGCCTGAGTTGACCCTAACTCGCCGAGTTTATCCTTCAACTCTCTGAGTTCCTCTAAGAATCGCAAAGTCGGGAAGAAACTGGTCCAAATCACCGAGCAATCTAATCAACCTGTCAAGTTGACTTACACCGACTCAGAAACAAGGAAAACCAAAACAACTCATTGAGTTGGCCACCTAACTCGTTGATTTCACCCGAGTCCAAACAACCTAATCCATTAAACTGACTAACAGCTTCTTACACTCAGGTCTTAACTGAAAAGGCCTTCAGAAGGGTAAAGTTTCCAACTTTACCCCTAAGAACAACCAAAATGGATTCAAAACCCAAACCCTAAACTTAAAAGGGTAAGGACTTAATTGTTAAGCACTTATTCCTCAAGGACAAAACTCCAAGATGCAGATCTGACCATATGAGGCTACATGGTCATGTAAAGTTTCCAACCTAACACTTATTCATGCTTAGAAGAAGCCCAAAATCATAAAAAAGACCAAAAGAAGGACTTAATGAATGCATGAAGCCCTTAGGGCCTTAAAGTTGGCACCTTTATGCTAAAAGAGCTTAATAGGATCATAGATCTGGATGAATAGCACTTGGGACATACTTTAACCCCACCAATCACTCAACCATGGCTAAAAGCATTAAAACTTAACCCAAAACGAGATCAAATCAAATATTAAGAAAGGATAGAACTTTATACCCACAATATGTTGGAAATGATGCAAATAATCAAGATCTGAAGGCTTCTAATTGAATCAGGATCTGAACGTTTCGAGATTAGGGTTAGAGGCTATGGAGGCTAGAAATGAGGCCAACACTTGGTAAATAAGGTGTTTAAATAGGGTGTAAAATCATGAAATTTGGTTTTCTCGAATAGCGTCTAACTCGTCGAGTTCCCTTCACCAACTCGACGAGTTGGTCCTTAATAACAGACACCTCAAAAACTTCTAACACATCTAGTTTATTCCATAAACTCGATGAGTTCGCTCCTAAAAAGGGAATTTATTTCCATAATTTGACCTTCTAGATTCCAGATGTTACAACTCTCAACCACTTAAATTAGATTTCGTCATCGAAATCTCTCATTGTTAACGATAATGCCAAAACGACCAACCTGATGATTATAAACAAAATTATAACACAAAATAACTTCCCTAGGCAACCAAAACCCAACCCAAAACTTCTATCCCAAAAAATAACACCTAACCCTTCAACTCTTGCAACACTTCTACCTTTCTGGGTGTAGAATCTATAATTTCCTAACACCCTGACATACCGCTAATGCTGAATCAACTCCATGCCAAACTCTCAATTAATAACTGGCCATTCATAACACTTCCAATTCTGAACACACCAATGCCTATCCAAATTTACTGAAACCACCCTTAGAATAGTTCTTCAAGCCCGATGAAGAAGAAACCACAATTCCTTAAACAAAATTAATCCTATCTCACCTGAATCCCGAAATCTAAGGTCTCAATGGTTTGACTCCCTATCAGACCTGTCACACCGAACCGTTATCATGCCAACCTCATAGAATTTCATTCCAAAAAAAACGCTTCATATCCCAAATCACATCGCTGCTTCCAAGGGACAATGCTACTCACCATATATCGCTACAGAACACCCATACTCGACGTAGGGCTCAGATAATCATTCGAGTAGAAGATTTATCCCTGCAATGGTTAGACTCACACGAGAGCTACGTAACAGGGTTAAATCAATTACTTTGTGATTATTTAATCCCATAGCAAGTGACTTTGCATTTACCAATCAATCAGTTACTCTACACACACACGTGAAACCCAATCACCAACACTACTCGAATCACCAAAACTGCTCAAAACAATGAAACTACATGAAACACCGAAACTGCCCGAAACACTGAAACTTCCCGAAATAGCATGTTGCATCTTGTTTGCTTTCCAAAATTCACCGAGACCTTCCTGGTCCCAAATTTTCATCCAGTCATCTAAAATACCAGGTTCCAGCCCGGCTGTTGAGCCAAAAGACTCCCACACAGTCGCCCCTCACGACTTCCGACAGTAAGCTTCACAGGCAATAGTTACCTAGACCATCTCGACACTAACCCGATAGTAAACTGAATGCTACTTGATCAACCGTAGTTTTTCCTCATACCCGGTTTCCCACGACCTACCGTATCCTATTTCCAAACATGTTTCAGCCCTCCAACAACCTTACAAACTAACCCACCCTGGCCTAAACCATCCGAAGGAAACCACGAGCAAAACACATGTTTGCTACAATCTCACCACTAAACAAAGACCGATGAATGCTACGAGCCACCCCACAGTCCTACAACACTCCCACACCAACTAAACACTAGTGAATTTTGATGGGTGATGAGCATATCTACAATCCTTTGTGATCATGCAACCCTAGTTGCTTTGGATCTAAGTTTTTCACTAATTGAACTTGCAAAAGAAATTCCAAATCCCTAACCGTATAAACTAGCATACAAATCAAAATTCATGTATAAATTAGGGTTATAAGATTACCTTACTTGTTATGTAGTAATAACAAGACAATCTTGAAGATCCTTGACACTTGAAAGCTTAGTGCCACGAATGTTGCTCCTCTAATGGTTCACATACATCCAATGCAAGAGGATGAGAGGAGAGTCTTAGAAAATCAGCTAGGGTTAGGAACCATATGCTTAGTCCGAAATTCTATTGACTTGGGAGGGTTTATACAAGGCTAGGTTGCTCAATCTTAAAGCTGGACTTGAATAAGGAAACCCTAGTTCCCATCCAAAACCCTAAGCAACCCATGGATCTCCTTAAGGAAGCCCTTGGACGAGATCTTATAGGTCCATCCTATCCACTCCATTTCATGGAGTCTTTAAGCTTAATTTCACAACTATCAATGATTTGCAAACCAACCCCTCCATTATTAATTAGTTCCTTTTATCCCAAAATTAATTCCAGACTAATTTCTGATTAATCACTAATTAATGATATGATTTCCAAATAATATATAATCTTGTAATATATTAATAAAATCATTTTGAGTGCCAATTTATTATTTCAAATAATAAATTCTATTCTCACTCCACTAGTCATCCTGTCAAGTTGCATGAGTGAAGGCAACCCAAAAGGACCATGCTACTATCAAATTAAGTGCATGCCAGTTATAGTTATGAGCTTAGACACCTAATCCAATAGTCTCCCACTTGGATAAGTCTAATAATCATGATTGGAAGTACGACCTCAATTTTTGACTATCAATTGTAACTTTTAAAAGCAATATCGAACTCTGACCTAGTCAGTTACGTGTCCTTTAGATAAGTGATCAAATATCCCACCGTTCTACAACATATCGTATGGACATGAGACATGGATTATAATCATTCTCTCTACTAGGATTTTTTTCCTAATTTACGATTTATGATGACTAACTACAATCGAACAGATCAATTCAGTCCAAGCTTAGATAAGTGTTTCTGATGTCATCACTAAATCATCGAGGGGCCCACATATGTCACTTATATCCCATTTAGGGTAAAAGGAACATATAAACTTTGACTAAATGCTAGTACTATTCACTCATCAAATCATACACAACAATACATTTTATAACATGAATTTACCAATACATTTACATATTATCAATGCACAACCTACTCGTAAACTACAACTCATATATCTCCATTTGAAGAATATAATATATTATCATCTCAAAATTACTCGTGATATAATCCATGAAGTAATTCTCTGAGCTTGGGTTAATCCAATACTCAAATTCCTATTTCAGGAGTACTCAAGAACACTTCAACAAACTTGTGCTATGTCTAAGCTCTTAGACAATCTACAGTCAAACTCATGACAATATTAATTCACTACTTACTTCCAAAAGTATGATCGACTGTGGATGTTTGAATAACCTAGTTA